GGTGATAGTGGTGCCGGATATTCTGGGCAAACAACAGCTGGGCAAACAAGTCACGTTCTGTCTAGCTTGCAATAAAATTGTCTTGGTCATCTCCGATGTGTACTTCCCCACCCCCCCCAGCGCTTAACTAGTTGGGAAACATGAAATGGTTGCCACTTCCCTAAGCACAGGGAGAGGGATTTTCAATGGGGCTTTCCACTTACTCTGTGGCATCTTTGAATGAAACAGGCGTGATTCATCTCACGGTGAATGTGCTGTTAAAATTTTTCCTGAGTTAGGTGTCACCCAGCGTTGGTTCCCAAACATCATCCCAAGTTTGTGCAATGTCTCTAAAGTACAGTGTTTCGGTTGCCTTTTTACCCATCTCTGTTTTATGCCAGAAAATCTCCTGATCTCTGGGTGATTTCCTGATGGATGAGAAAATAGCTCAGGAGTTCATTTGCTGTATTTAGGTGTAGCACTGAGCAGTGTCAAGATGACTCAGTTGGTAGTGAACTTCATACTGGTGTCATCCTTTCAAATCCCTCTTGATAGTGACCAAAAACCATGACGACGCTCGGAAGATGCACTTGCTAGAAGATGCTTTTCTTCCTCTTCCTTCAGTAGGTGGGAAGACTTCCTGTTTGTATTTTGGTGCGGAGAGGGGGATGACTGCTGATGCTGTATGATAGCTGCTGGAGGCCAGGATTGGTGTCTGGGTTGGGTTGTCCCAAGCAGCCGTGACCGAGCTTGCGGGCTCTTTGAGCAGCGCAGATAGGCAGCACGTAACGCGGCTGCTGGTAATCACGGTCCCAGATAGCTGAAGCACCTCTGTGGTTTGAGGGGCTCTTGGTGTCTCTACCTGCTGGTCCCGGGCAGGACAACTCAGTTGCCTGGATGCGCAAACACGGGCTGGTTTACCGCGGCCCCTGGCAATTGTTCACTCGCAGAAGCGCAAGCACGTGGTGGAGATTCAGGACGTAACTATGGCAGTGGGGAGGAATGTGTGAAAAGAGCTTGGAGATGTCAGAGCCACCCGCTCGTGAGGAGAGGGCCACGTTAGCAGAGCTGTTGGCTAGCAGTAAACAGTCCTGGCACCCTTGTTTCAGGACTTGGCAGCAGCAGGAGTTGAACTGAGTCCAGCTTTACTCTCTACTGCCTGTTCAGTAAGTTGAGGACAAGGCAGATGATTAAGGAAATGTGGGGAAACTGCTACAGAAGCTTTTGGAAAGATAAGAGACTTTGGTCTCCATGTCTGACAGTCTGGCACTTCTCACTAGCATTGAATTCACATGCAAATCAAAGGCAACATCTACTCCCACAGGAAGCTTTATTAATGTACAGGCCTGCTTGCGAATCTCCGTGCTGATGAAGGTTGTGGGACTGACTTCGCTCTCAAATTAATTTCCCTGTCTATCCTCGCTCGAGCGCCGTGCGGCACCGGCAGCCCCAGCAGGGCTCCCACGCCGGCATCCGGCGACGGGCTCCGCGCGGGAGCGGTTGCTGTGTGGAACCAGAGAAAGGGGGTAGAGGTGCGGCGCTTGTCGACTTGGATTAAATGGGATGTGCCGGCGTAATGAGGGCAGGTGTCCACCGGGCTTGAACTGACATCAGCAAATTAATTTCACGAAGGCACTCCAAATGAGCTTGAAATACTTTGCATATGAGAGGGAAGAGGGCTGGTGCTTCCCGTACCGAGCTAGCCGTCTTTCTTCCACGCATCCCGTCGTGTGTAAGGAGTGCGGATGAGACTTTGAAACGGCAGGGGCAGTGCTTGGTCCGAGGCGGGAGGGAGGAAAGGCTGAGCCAGGCAATGTAGAAAGGCAAAGGGACTTGGGAATCCCTGGGTTCACCGTACCACCGAGGACACAGTAGCTACTTGATGCAGATGTTCAGCAAGAACCAGATTTAAGCTATAAACAACCTTTCACATCTTAAACCCGAGCTCATCTGATGCTTAGCTTTTATTGCTGTCAGTTATTTATAAGCGGAAGAGTGAAATCTTGAGAGGAGAGAGATGGGAAATGCCATTTCGAGCTGCAATCCCCAGAGCTGTCAGCTTGCCGCCATCTCACCCGCGCCTGCCCCTCCGTGGTTCTCCCTTCGCTGTTCTTGTCTATCCCGGCTCCTTGTATCCGTGATGCTCCCTTGCAGCCAACTCGTTCATTACTCTCCTTCTTTTTAATCCTTTCCTTCCCGCCCTGCTCCACCCTCCGCGCTGCTCCCTCCCTCTTCGCCATCGCTGGTCCCACCAGGTCTCGGCACCAGGACGAGCGCCGGTAGGACACGGAGCAGGGAGGTGTGGATGTCACCTGGAGCGAAGAGTCTGCAGGAGGGTGGGTGTGTGGGGATGCGGGTGCTGTGCAAGTGGGACCGGAGCAGGGACAGAGCTCTGGCTTTGCTCCATCAGAGCCTTGCCGTTGTGAGCCTGGCCCCGAGCGCAGGGATCTTCATCGGCGCGGGGTCAAACCGTGGCGAGGGCTCAGGGGGGTGGCGGCGGCCACCCCGCCGAGTTGCACAGAGCTTCGCGGCCGGCTGGAGTCGAAAGCAAGCATTTCTTGCACGGCTACTTGTTCTGGGAATCTTCAAAAAATTTCTGGCAGCCAATTTTAGTTGTGCAACCTCTCAGCTGCCAGAACGGATAGAATCTGATCATATCACATGAAATGCATGCAGGGTCTGCTATAGCAACTGTATTTCAAAGAGACAACACATATGGTGACTGGTTCTTTTTGGAATAATATCTATAAGTTGATGATGTTTTATTCAAAAAGGCTGTAGCTTGAAAGGTTAGGGATGTTCTGATTGTTTAGTGTATGATTAAAGAAAGGCTTCTGTGGTTTTTTTTGGCCTATTGAATCTAATTACTGGGAACTAAAATGATCATTTGATTGCACATTTACCTGGAATTATTCTTCTGCAGAGCCAGTCTTAATAATATATAATAATATGTTGCGCTTGTACTGTATAGCGCTTCTTGTCTGAGCAACTCAGAGTGCTTTACAAGTATTCATTAATTAAATAAGCCATACAACACCCCTGTTAAGTAGGTGAGTATTTGTTGCCCATCCCCTTAAGTCTTGTGGGTTTTATTTCTGCTGCCTCTGCCCACCCTTGATGATGCTTTAACAGCTAAATAAGCTAATTCAATAAAAATAACAATTTTTTTTAAGCATACTTAGCACTTTCCGCATATGGGTTTCCTTTGTTGCATTGCATTAATGGGTAGGCAGTGGGGTCTTCTGGTTCTTGAGGCTGAACCGGCGGCAGGGGTGTTGTGTGCGTGGGAGCACAGTTTCTCGCCCGCCCTGGTGCGTGCCCGTGCCCGGCAGCTCCTCGCACCCCTCGCAGGGCCGTGGACCGTTTTAGAGATGCTGTGGGTGCACTGAGCTCCAACCAGCTTGAAACGCAGAATCTGATTTTACCTTCATCGCGCCAAGCTCTGTTGGAAATCACATCCACCCTTACAAGAGTTTTTCTGAGCCGGTGGAGACTTGTTACTGAATTTGAAAGGAGGACTCGTTGCCAGAGCGCGGTAAGGTCTCTCTTCCCCGCTTGCCCTGGCGTGCTGGCCGGCAGTGGTGGTTCTTCAGCGCCCTGGGCTGCCTGATGTCCTTTCAAAAGTAAAAAGATGGGTCTAGGCGATAAAATAACACGGTTTTACGGGGGGTTGTGGATCCGAGTTTGCAGTCCTTGGTGTCAAACCTTTCCTGGCGGTTCTGCGCCGAGATGAAACGCTTTGCAACTTGGAGAAGCAAGTGAAACCTGAAGCATATCTGACTCCTTAATTAAATAGGTATTAATTAAATCGCTCAGAGAGCATACACAGTAGGAGTGGGGAAGGCTTTTTCCCTCCTTCCGTGTAGGCATCTTGCAAAGGGACTATTTTTCTTGTTTTACATTAATGAAGTCTTCAGCCTTCCCACTTTTCCACCTACACATGTACTGAACGTCTCCAAGGAGACCAAGAAAGCCCGAGTCCGGTGCTGGTGAATCCTCCGGGAGCAGCGGGCTCGGGTCTTGCCAGCGGAGCCTGAGCTGTGCCCCAGCCTGTCTTGCAGGGATCAGCCTCTTCCTTACAGTCCCCTTGCTGGGGGCCGGGAGAGACTCAGGGCAGGGACTTGCTCCTTCTCCTGCTTTCCCCTGTGTTTCGTCGTCCTCTTGCTTGCTTTTCCCCACCTGATGGAGAAATCGGGCCTCCTAGAGCAGCTGGCTCTAGTGCCCAGGGATGCTTTTCCCTTGCCTTGCATGAAATTTTGCAGTAAGCCGTCACCATGTGATGCTCTGCTCATGCTTTCGGGATCATGTCCCTTTTTCCTTCATCCCGTGAAACCACACTGTCCTTTTGCTGCTCTGCTGCCTCCCGTCCGAGTCCCTGATGGTGGTCTTTGTGATTCTGCGGGCTTGAGACGCCGTCACCACTTTTCATTGCATTCACTCCGGCTCCTCACAGGTTCCTCAGCCTTTAGCATGGTACCGCTTGGACTCGGCACAGCTCCGCCTGCCACTGGCGCTCCTCTTCCTCCCACCATAGACTTCCAGAAACTTCCCTGACCTTCTCTGGTGCTCAGGAGAGCAGGCAGTGATATACAACTGCCCTTTTCTGTAAACCAGACCTGACCCACTGGAGAAGAGGAGCATGAAAGTCATTAGCGCATGAGCCTGCCCAGTAGCAAAGAAGGGTATGAGCCGCTCCAGGTCAGGAATAAAAATAACTGTATGGTGCTCACCACCGGGATTTCTGCGGTTCCTTGAGGTTCCCACGGAGGAGCCGAACATTAGGTGCTGCAGGTTTTCTTTACTGGCAAAATGGGAAATCCACCGGTAGGATATTGCCTCATTGCGTGCAAGTGCTGAATTGTGATGGGTTTTTTTGTGGAAACCACTGCTTTCCTCAGTGGAGGTGCTTCAGGTGTGGAGTGGTACCCCATGGCTGAGGAGTGCCTTGACCCTATGCTGTGTGTGTATCTCCTCACTCCTTGTCTGCTGGCAACTCAATTTTCAAACCTCTTTCCTCGCAGGCTCTCCAGGTGGCACGGCAGCTTCTACTGCAACAGCAGCAGCAGCAGCAACAGCAGCAGCAGCAGCAGCAACAAGTTAGTGGATTAAAGTCCCCGAAGAGGAATGACAAACAGCCAGCCCTTCAGGTAAGGGGAGCCCGTGTGCCCCCGTGAGGGACTGGGGCTTGTAAAAGCTGAATAAACACGTCTTACTGGTGAAGGTTGGGATGGGACCTTCAGGAGCTTCCTCCCAGTGAAGTCCACAGAGCGCCTGTGGCTGGTGTAAGTGGCGTGAGGACCGGTGCTAGGTGCTCTTGAAAATCCCACCCACGGCGTATTTACAGGTCTTGAGCATGTACTTCTATTAGTAGGGTTGGATCATGACAAAATGGAATAGCTTTTGTTACCGTGTCAGCGTGCATAGGAGATTTGCATTAACATTTCTGTTTGATTGCTGTTCCGTTTGTAGTCTGCGTTCACTCAAACCGTTGATTTGCTGTGTCAAGGATATTGGGAAATACTAGGATATCGTATCATCGGTGTGTTTTTTCCCCTTTTATTGTCTGCTGATCTATGGACATCTTCAGAAATAAAATCTAAATATTATCAGGCTTTGTGCTGTTATGAATCAGAAAGCTAAAACCAATACAGCATTCCCAAACACAAGATGTATGCACACATATGCGGCTTTGGAGTACATTCCGCTAGTCTGGCGGGATAAATCACGGGACTTAAAGACAAGAAAGACCTATTAGGTCATGTATCACATTTTCCTTTTTTTTTTTTTTTTTCCTTGCTATTCTGGTGTTAGAAATCCCAAGTGGTGGTGGGACCGCTATTATTTTCCTTCGGATGGTTTTCCATAACAAAGCACACGCTCAGGAACTTTCCACTTTTAATTCCATCCTCTTGCTCCAAGTAATACTGCTTGTATAAATACTGAGTCAGTCCCTTGCCTTGCCTCGTGTTCGCACTCCTCAAACATCTGAGATACTAACACGTACTTGCCAGTTTTGGCAAATTATATGTATCTAGTTCTTTATGCATTTCGTAAGCTGGCACTTCTAGACCCTTGACCACTTTGCAGGTTTGCAGCTGGTTATTGCTTTCATTATTGCTCTCTTTGCAATTGCAGCGTGTCACTGTATTTTTGATAATAAGTTACTGAACGCAGCAGTTCAGCTGCAGTCGCACAAAGCCCTGTAGCTGGGACATTTATCTTATCTCCCTCTTCTATATCTGATGCTTCAGCCTCTGTAGCCCCAAATTCTTTCCGGGTTTTTTTTTTTTTTGCTTGTTGTCATAGCACATTGTCAAACTCATGTCTGTTTTGCTCTTTCTAATTTTTTTTTTTTAGTTTGATATACTATCACCATGAGTTCCCTGACAGCATTGCTGCTTCTCTTGCCTTTTATATGTGCCTCAGATTATTTTCCTCCAAAAATACGGATCCTAGACTCTTTAAATATGTAGTAGAATATGGAAGGTAAAGCCAACACCGCTAAAGGCCTTGACAGTAAAGAGAGAGGACCCGATCCTGCGGTTCTTACCCAAATAACGCCGGTGGGGACTTCAGGGGCAGTTTTGCCTGAGTGAGGAATAGCGATTAACTGCAGCCCTTGGCCCAGCGTGGACAACTTCGAGCTTTCGTGTAGTGATTTCATCTTCAAAGCATTTTGCAAATACTAATCTCCAAAACATCCCCAGAAGGAAAGTCTGATAAGTAAGTAGCATTATCCCAGTTCTGGACTGGGAAACTGAGGGAAACAGGTTAAGTGACTTGCTTAGGATCACAGAGGGAATTGGTTTTAGAGGTGGGATTAAGATTCGTGAGTTCCTGGCTCCCACCCCCGTGCTCAGGCTGCTGGACGACACCTCGCACTTTATAGCCGAGCTATTATTCTTTTGGAAAGTATGAACCATTTTGTCATTGGGCAAATATACGTTTTATTGGCAGCGTAGAGCGCCATAATCCAAAGCGTTACATTAATGCTTTCAAAAATATTTTATTTGGTAAATCCATAGCTGATCCATATGCCTTTTAATAGACTCTTCCACTGGGGACATTTTTAATGAGAGATTGTGCTGGCTAGGTCCAGTGTCAGGTACTAAAAGAAGTGCTTTGTTGTGCAGATGTCTTAAGAATAGCTCCAGAGGATGAAATATGACTGTGTTGACCTTTCAGCTGTGAGCTTATTTGTCAGGATTCAAATAAGTTGAAAGGATCAAACCAAACAGTTTCCGTAGTCAGACTGGGAATTGTGTTGCAGAGGTCAACAGTGAAGGCCACATCGCGGATTCCATAACATAGCCAATTGTTGGTACGTATTAAAGTACTGGAGCAGCTCCTGCAGTCAGAGACACAATTAAAATTCTAATTTATTAATGTATACAGCGAGCTGGCCCAGCCTGTCACTCACTGATTCAAATGACTGCCCAGTCATTTTTTTTTTTTTTTTTTTTTTTTTTTCCCCCCCCTCTCCTCACTCTCAGTGCTTTTGCTGTCTTAAACGTACTGGAAATCCTCTTGAATGTAGCAGACCCCGAGCGCAACCCTGCAATGAAAATCGGTTGCTGAAAGGAAACGGTGGCGCCGGGGGTAGAATTTTTGAGTAACGCTGCACCCACGCGAGCACCTGCACCCCCTGAAGCTGGATGGCACCGCAATGACAAGGCAGTACCCGTTGCCGACAGTACGTAGAATAAACGTTGAGGGTGGTGGAAACGTTTTTCAAAAGTTTGCTTAAATAATGAACCGAGTCATCTTCGCACTTAGTTTATAAATACAGGTGTCTCATTGGATAGCCACAGCGGTTAGCGTTACCTTTTTTCTTTTTCCAACAAACAGGCTTCGTGCCTCACGAGAATACTGTAGGCATCGCTTCTCTCTGCTGTGCTCAGCGAGGGGGGCGAGCTGCCCACCGCGAGTGTTTGCATGGAACTGGGCGGGGGGAAGGATGCCGTTCACCTGGCGTGCTGGTTCTCCTAATAAGATGCTGCGTGGCGCTGCCGGCCCCGGGAGGAGAGGCTGCTGCGGTCCCACGCGGGGCTGGAAGAGCTCCCTCCGTCTTGGCCTCGGCACTGCGACGCTGGCTGGCAGGCTTTGGCATGTAAACCCCACCGCCGCAAAGAGATGTGGAAAATTAATCTAGTATACCCTGTGTAGCTAATCTGTTATTGCCTCGTGGATAATTTCCTATATTCCTTCTTTATTCACTGATCAAATAGCCACGGTACTTAAATATATCCCGGCCTCCCGTGGCCGCACTGAGGCACAGTGCCTTCAATAGCCTTTACATGACAATGGGCTCCAGCGATGCCTTTGGGGGTCTCTTGACCTTGATAACTCTACCTGGAGACCTGCCTTTAGCAAATTTTGAGATATTTAGTGTATAAGAACTTGGATGCGGGAGTGGAGATGTGCTCTGCTGATAGTTGAAAAAAAAAAAAAAAAATCTCCAAATACACGATGACTCACATTTTGAGCCTATCTCACGCTGCCGTGCTTTATATTTGGCAGTGACCTCCGGTTTCACAGCCTGATGACACAAACAAAAGAAAATTGAAAGTTAAGGAATGGATTTAGTAACCAGCAGTTGGGAAAAGAATATAAAAAAAAAAAATACCAGCCCCACAAAAATTACTGGAAGTGAAAAAAAGACTAAAGCATGTTTGATAATATATTTGCCATTGACGTTGGATTTCCTTGAATCCGTGAAACAAATAATTTAACAGGCCAGGTATGCTTAGGATTTTGAAAATGTGCACATTTTTCCTGGCCAAGATAAATATATCTTTGTATTAATAGACGTATTGATTAAAATTTGCAGCTTTAATTGCTGATGCTCTTAACGATTATTCATTTTGGTTCTTCAAGCATTTTAGTTGCTGGCAAGAGCACACAGATTGGAAACAAATCAAGAGACACATTTTTCTCCCAAGAAAGTAAAAGTGCATGTGTGTTTTGGCAATACTAAAAATACAATTTTTTTTAAAGACGTAAATGTTGTGTGTTGCATTGAGCTGAAAGTTGGATACCGGACTGAAAACAGATTTAGGACGTCCAAGTCAGTATCTCGCAATTGAAACCCATCACTTGACTTTTTTATGTGATTAAATGAGATTTGTTGTATAGTTGATAGTTAACCTGTGTGTGTTTGGAGAGAAGAAACGATGAAATTAGTAAGATGGAAACTTTTGTTTTCGGTTGACAAAACAGAAAATAAATCTTCCTTTTAAGTCACGGCCAAGAAAAGAATTTGGGTTTGGTTTAGATTTTTCGGGTGAGACTGGGGGAGGCTGAGAGGACAGAACTGTCCTCGCCTTTGCATACCGCTGCTTTTTAAAGCAGCCTTTTGGCTGGGCTTTTGTAGAATTTAATTTGCATGCTGTATTATCTTAATATTTCTTTCCAGTATCTTGAGAAATAGGAGGGGGCAAGAGGAAAAAAAAAAAATCACCGTAGCTTGATGTCAGGAGCATTTAATATTGTTTTTTATGAAATTAGAAGTCGATAGCTCAACAACGTAATGAACACTGAAAGGTGAAGGGAAGGGTATTCTCTCTTTCGCTGGGAGCACACAAGTACCAGGTTATGTAGCCCCAGGTTTTACATGCGACGTACCTTTTTTACATAGCGGTAAATTTAACAACTGGTAGAGAAATTGTGTCTCAGCAGATAATTTGGGAAGGGGAATAAATTTGCAAGTGTGTTTATTCCGGTTGTATGAGTCTCTCTCTCTGTTTCACTCTTAAACATGGGAGTTGATCTGACTTTGGCCCAGTCACGCCAATGGGCGTTTTGCCACTGACCCTTTGGTCAGTTGGGTTGCGGTTTCACTTCTCCAGAGTTTAAATAGTTTACCTATGAAAATTTCACTGGAATCCTTCATTTTTTGTTTTTGACTTTGGAAATAAAGCAAAGTTGAGTTTTGCTGGTTTCTACCAAAGGACCCATAGCTCTGTCTACTTTTCATCCCTAAACCCAATTATAGGTGTTAGTCAGTTCTTGGAATATGCCCGTGAAGTGCAGATATCATCCACCCCACAAAGAGAACAAAATCTGAGTCAGGTCCTCAAAGTTACATGGTCAGCTTGAAAATTTTGATACTAAGGGTGTTTTTTTTTTCAGTGAAACCTGTGGGCCT